TCCGACTGATTGCATTATGCTGCCCTCCACCTGTTTCGCCCTTCTGACGTTGCAGCCATTCTTACTTTATCCTGCCAAATTCCTTTTTTCAAAGAATTCATTTTTTTATTCTTTTCTCCACCAAAGCTTCCAAGTAGCTTTCCGACTGTTCTACTTAACTTCTTTCCCTCCTAACAGTTTTCCCCTCAGTGGTTCCTGTTGTTGTCGTACACAGGTCGCCTCTGTCCTGCTTTTCTTTTTTTCTATACCGCCAGTTCCTTAAGTGATCAGCAGTATATTTCAAACGGTACTTGTGTTCCCACCGTTCTTCTTTTTTGGCAGTTCTCTTCTGACCTTTTGTTTATTTGTTTGTTTAAGTCCCCATTCTGTATTCCCCCCCCCCAACTTCCAAAACTGTTCTTTCAGGCTATATCCCAAACTGTTTCCCCTCCCCTCCCTCCTATTTCTGCCTGTTTTTCCGACTGTTCCTCTATCCTTCCTATGTCCCTAACCTAATGCAGGTACGAGGTAATGCAGTCCTGCTGGCTCCCAGCATCCCACCGCCCAACTATGGAAGAGCTACATCTGCAGGTGAGCTACCTGCTGAACGAGCGCTCCAATGCTCAGGCAGAGGAGAGCTTTGAGTGGCGCTGGAGCGCTCTGAAGCCCAAGCGCTCCTCTTCCCCACCGCCGGCCTCGTCCTCGGCACGCCACCGCCGTTCGTCGGAAGAGATTTCGGCCTATCCTCTGTTGGACGGGTTCCACGGGGGCGACATGGACGATATTCTGACCGTGACTGAGAGCAGTGGGGGGCTGAACTTTGAGTACATGTGGGAAAAGGCCCGCCTGGGACGATGGAAGGGCCCTGCCTCAGCGCCGCCCGAGTATTCTTCCACAAACGGCGGGCTGGCTGTGCCGGGAAGCAATCCTTTCTATGAACAGGCCACGCAGCGGGGGCACAGCTTGGAGACGCCCAGCGTGGTGCCCGTAATCAGTGCCCGGAGCCCTTCAGTCAGCAGTGAGTATTATATCCGCCTGGAGGACCATGGCAGTGGCGAGGGGCCTGTCTGTGCCCCCAGCCCTGGCTCCCCACCCCAGCCTCTCTTTCCCTCAGACTGGGACTGCCACAGCGCTCCCTATCGGCCACAGGAGCAAACCAGTAGCACCAACCCCTTCCTGGCCAGCGGCAGCAGTGACAGCAACCCTTTCCGTGTGGATGGCGAGATCCAGGAGACATCCCTGACAGAGACGCCGGCCACAGGGGGCGAAGCATTCCTTGCTGAGTCCCTACTCACTGTGTACCGTGAACTGGAGGACCAGCAGCGTAGCTGGGATGCCGAGATGATGGAAGAACGGGGGGCAGGGGAGACGTTGGCTGGAGATCCTTCTGAGTTCCAGGGGTCCCCCTCGTGGGAACAAGAGCCTTCCCTGATGGAGGATCAAAGTTCTGGCAGCAGCACCGATGACGGCGGAAGCAGCGTTGGGGGCGGGCGGCGCCACCTCTTGCCATGCCCGCTGTGTACTCGTGCACGTTGCACGTGCGCCATTCCTCGTGGGGATGTTGTGAGCAGCTGGAGCAACCATGGCCCGCCGCTGCGCCGCCCTCACCGTGACAGCTATGGCACTGAGGATGACTCCTCCTTGAAAGTGGAACGGGGCTCCCTCTCTGACTGTCCTATGCTTCCCTCTAGGGACTGCGATGGGGATGGGGAGGAGCATAGTGAATTCTATGACCCACTCATGGGCACAGTGGTGAAGACCTATGAACTTCAAGACTACCCAAAGCAGAGAGGTGGGGGGAACGCTTGTCCCCCTGGATCACCCTTCCCAGCTATGTCCTCTAGTGGCTGTAATGTGATTGTCCCTGTAGAGATACCACCGTTGTCCACGCTAGCTGAAAGCAATGATGAGGAGACCATTGCGATTCTCCCGGAAGCCATTGATGGGTTCTCCACTGGCCCTGCAACCATAAATCTTTCCCCAGTGGCACCAGATAGGCAAAGGGGGACCCTTGACTCTGTGGATTCACTGGATATCCCTTCTAATACTAGTTCGTCAGATGTTTGCAGCCCTGCATCACACTATTCATCTCCAGGGCAAAAATTTGGGGATAGTGGCTATGAAACAGAGAGCACTTTCTCGCCTGAATTCATTTTCAAAGAGGAACCACCTCCACCACCTTCCAGGGAAGAGGAAGAAGTAATAGAGACAGAAGAAGATTCTGGCAAACTTCCGACCACACCCATTTCTCAGTCCACGAGTGATCTGACTTTATCTGTGAGTGAAGAAGGGGCAGAGCTAGAGGAAGAGGTAGGGAGGAGTTTAGGGCCAGCAACACCTCACCGTGACTCTGCCTACTTTTCTGATGGGGAGGCAGAACCCCCTGAGGAACCTGCTGCAGCTGTTGCTCTTGGAAGTGAGGGAGAAAAACCGGTGGAGAAGATAACAGTGGATGGAGGTTTTGTGGTTCAGGTGTGCAAAGAACAACTGATGGTCACACTGCAGGAGAACGTCACACGCAACCTGCTGTGCACTCAGAGGACCCCGACAGTGGGGATTTCGCCAGCTGGCCTTTTGAAGGACCAGGCTGTTCTCAGGCTCTGGACCCTAGAGCCAGAGGAGGGGCAGGAGGAGACGGAGGAAGAGGAGGAGGAGGA